GGAGACTAACAACTATGTTCCAACTGTAGATAAAATAGCTACACTCAAAGCCTAACTGGAATTATGGGGGTGACAAGAAAACAGTTGGAATTTTGACATGTTTCAAACACTAGCAGAGATTTTGAAAGACAATGAGCCAAGGCTTTCTCCTACCTGGTATATGATCACCTCTCTTAACTCTCAAAAGTAAGCTGAGTGATGCTGAACTTTGAGCATTACTGTGCAACCTTAAATGATACCTGAACTGGGAAGGAATGAAGATCCATTTTTTTTTTTTTTTTTTTTAATAAGTCAGGTAAATTGTACTTGTCCCTGCTAGAAGTGGATCACATAATTGAGACTGAAAATGTTAGTATCCTTAATAGTGTATTTTGCGAATTAAGGGTAGGTCAGGGAAGTCTGAGTAGGAGACAATCACTTCAGAGGGGATTTGTGTAGTGAGTCTTCAGGAATGGGCAAGAGCTCTCTCTCTCTCTCTCTCTCTCTCTCTCTCTCTCTCTCTCTCTCTCTCTCTCTCTCCAGCCCCCCTAGGTGACTCACTATGTAGTTCAGACTGGTCTTAAATTCACTATGTAGCCCAGGCTACTCTTGAGCATATAGTTATCCTCCTGCTTCAGACTCCTGAGTGCTGAGATTATAGGCATACACCATCACACTGGGCTTGGGCATGACTTTTCTGACAGAAAAGATGGGGACAAGATGATAAGAGCATTGGGTAGTGAAGGCATGTTCAGGTGAGGGAATGATGTACTTAAAGCATTTCAAAGAGGTCCATGTGAGGGGAGAGTGGGTTGGGTGCCTAAAGCCTGGGAATATAATAGTAAAAAAAGAAAATACAGTTCCTATACCCATACAGCTTACAGCCTATGGAGGAGACAGAGAATACAAAAGATAATGTATATTATGAGAATGGCCAAAAAGAAATCAATTAACCTGTGAAGGGCTTTGTGAGGCAGACAATTGGTGACAGGGAGACACAGAGAAGCAATTAAGGAGAACGGCATGATCTGATTCATTTTTTGTGATTAACCTGGAGGTGGTAAAGGAGTGGATAGCAACCAGAGAGAGTCAGGAGAGAAACAAGCTGGGGAGGTGTGATAATTTAAAGGTGTGCTTCCATCTCTGGCACTGTGAAGAGTTACAGGTGCCAGATGTGAACGATTTCTGAGTCAGAAATGGTAAAATTTAGTGTCTTCCTGGATGTCAGGGTAAGGATGCAAAGAGAACCAGGAGGCAAGGTTGACTGGTGGTTTCTAGACATGGACCTGGGCTTGGTGACTGCTGATTCCGAAGATTAAGATACAAAGAGGAGAATGGATAGAGGAAAGCATGTGTAGGTTTTTTCATTGGAGAATGGCACCAAAGGATGTTGGTACCTACAGTGCCTCAAAGTAACTACTTATATTATTTTGTGACTACCTTTAATACTTCATAATTTACTGTCTACTACTGTTCACACAAAGGATGAGCCAACTAACAATTCACTATTCTTTCTGAATAAATATTCTTTAATTACATAAATGATACAACCCTATAAATAAAAATTTGAATAACTTGGGCAAATAACAGGTTTTTTTTGTCCCTGTTTTAAGACAAACATTTTAATAGAGATATTTCCAAGAAAGGAGAATAATGTGCTTCAAAGCATTATTACTTTATTTTAATTTTTATTTATTTTTTTCAATCCGATTTGTTTTTAATTAAGTATTATGGTCACATACAAATTTGTGCTTGGGGCTGGTGAGATGGCTCAGTGGTCTAAAGCACCTATTTAGAACAAGCTTAACAAAGCACATGGACCTCGGTTCAATCCCCCAGCACCATACGCCTGCCAGCCAGCCCCGCCCCCAGGCGGGCTGAGCTGGCCACACACACAAAATAAATAAATAAGACAAATTTGTGCTCATGTTGTACCTTCCTCACTTCTTCCTTATAATGAGCTGACAGGAAGCACCACTACCAATCACACATGCAACAGTAAAAGTTTTAGTCTTGTGTTTTTGAATAGCTGTTTAAATACTACCATGAACAGTAACTCAGTCTGACCTAAAGAAATCAAAAGTAGAACTTGCTGTTGTATCATGCTAACTCTTAAAATTATCTGAATTTACAGATCAACTATAAAATGTGAGAAATGTTAAATATTTTTTATTTGGTATTATACATACACCACACTAAAACTCCTTTCAATAAGTAAAAGGCAGCACTTTTTAGATATAGGGAATTCTAATTAAATTGGCATAGTCAAGACTAAAAATATAGACAAGGCTTTCTTGTCTTCAACCACACCCTTTAACAGTCTAATAAACACAAACTGAAACAGTGGAGTCTTGGTTGGTTTTGAGACAATGAAAGATCCTCTCAGTATTTAAACATATTCACATAACCAGTTATATAAAACTAAATGTAAAACCAACCTTCAGTAGTTTTGAGATGATATTCTCAATCTTTGTGAAAAGGTGAACATTACTAATCAAGTCCAACCATGTATTTAGAATGGAAAACAGTGATAGTATTTACTGAACTGGAATTACTATCAAACCTTGAAGAAAAAAATGATATACATTTAACTACAAGCCAATTTTATTTAAATCAGGACTGTCCAACAAAAATATTCTGTCAGCCACTCATGATCTGAATTCTGGTGTATGAGATTAAATTATGGTACACATACAAAAACCATGAGACATTTTTGTTCTGTAATAAATAAGGCAGTGACTATTACTCTTTAGTAGCCTTTTTGAGGTAAGCTATTAAGTCTTCCCTTTCTCCCTTCTTCTTGATGCCAACAAAGATCGTTTTTGTTCCTGAGATGTACTTCTTGGGATTCTCCAAATATTCCATCAATGTATCCTCTCCCCAGGTGATACCTTTGTTCTTGTTGGCATCTGTGTATGAGAATCCAGCAGCCTGACCTGTTTTCTGCCCAAAGAGACCATGGAGATCTGGCCCAGTCTTGTGCTTGCCTCCTTTCTCAACAGTGTGGCACTGAGCACACTTCTGTACAAAAATTTTCTTGCCTGTCTCAACATCACCCATTGTAAACCTGCTGCAGCTTCCACGCTGGGTGGTCACCGGTCTTCCCTCGTTACCACAAGAAAAGTTCTAGTGCAGAAGCCTGATGTCCTGCTCTCTACGTATTATTACTTTAATGAAGTCATTAAATGTGGAGTTATTATTAATGGAGTTATTTTATGAACCAAGGAAATTAAGTATGTACTTAAACTGATGCTATCCATAGCTTAAACTGTGTCAAGATGAGGAGAGATAGATTCAGTTATGCTTCCATAAGAGGAGTATCTTACATGACTCAGAGAACCTCACTCATTCATTTTTTTTTAAGAACCTCACTCATTCATTTTTGTTTACTTGCTCACTCAATGCAATATATTGGGTGCCTAAAGTCTGGGAATGTAATAGTAAAAAAAAGAAAATATGGTTCCTATACCCATAGAGCTCTCAGCCTAATGGAGGAGACAAAGGATTATGTATATTATGAGAATGGCCAAAAAGAGATTGGATAATGTGCTGCAATAGAGAATCAGCAGGGTGGCATATATCACATAGTTCAAAGAAAGCCTGAATTAAAGAGTCAAATGAGTAGTAATTATAAATGGGAGGGTGAGAAAGGACAGGAAGGTCAGGAAGAATTGAGAAAAAGCCAGGGAAAGTAGAGGTAGAAATGGAGCAGAGGTTAGAAAGGTAGGCAGTGGATGTAATGTCTATATAGTATCACTTTAGACTTAATTGAATAGTATTCTTTGAGTGTTTTTGAATCTTGCCCAGTTTTGTTACTTGAGCCCCTTTTATAAATATAAGACTAAAAATTTGAAAAATAATGCCCGCACAGTGATGCTGCGGTGCGCTGTGCAGCTCCAGCTTGGTAGAAATCCTTATAAGCGTGGAGAGCATTGCTGGATGAAATAAATATCCAGGTGAGTTTCCCTCATCACAGCCCTTGGCGGCTAGAGGGAACAGCCCCTCTGGGAGTCCAGAGCAGGAGTGTAAAGTGCAGGTGCTCCTGCCTTACAGCAGGACCACTCCAGGGTCCTTGCTGCCCCAGCGCTCCCAAAGAACCTGGGGAAGCCTTTGCTGGGAAGATGTCACCCTATCCAACTTTCTCATCCTGCCTATGAGTACAGCCTGGCACAACTCCTGCATAGAAACCTCTACCTCTGACTGCTGTCCAGAGAACCTGACACTAAGCAGCATGTGAATATTGTCCATTCGTACATCATTTTTATAAGAAATACTTTAACAAAGTGCTTCCTGTGCAGTCTTTGCAGACAGTCTGATGGTCATTGCAATGGTGATGATGATGGCGATGAAAGAAGCTCAAGAGCGTTTGCCTGAGTCAGGCTCTACGCCAAGCACTTTATTACGCATTCCTATTTCATTAAATCCTCACAACACCATTTTTATGATTGGTACTATTACTAAAGTACTGAGTACATCATGAACTTGAAGTTAGGGAAAGTAAGTGACTTGCCTGAGCTTGCACAGCACGTGAAAGGGAGAACTAAGTCTCTACAGTCTAATGCTCCCAAGTCTGCTCTCAGTCCCTACATTGGTCCTCTCAGATTCACTTATTTGGTAGTACATTAGGTTCTGTTCTTTAGTGCCATAGCTTCCTGAGATATTTACAACCAATCATTCAACCATCGAAACCTTGTTTTACAATTTATATGCTTATAATTAAATTATATGCTTTTGGGAACTTGTTAGAAAAACTTAAAGACAAAAGAACTCTTTCTTAGACCTTAATATTCAATTTTAAGATTCTGTTCAGGAATCCTACATATAGCTAAAAGCAGACTAATACTAATTTAAAACTCAAAAAATGAAAATTTTGTGGTATGAAGCTATATTTTCATAGTAGTATATTTTTAATTAGTTGTTTCTTCTCTGTGAATATAATTTCTTTCAATTTCCATGACCTTACACAAGAATTCACAATTTGATCTATAAAGAAACAAAGGTCTAGAAATTGGAGAACTTACCTGTCCAATAATGAGTGGAACCACGACAGTCATAAAAAGTTGAGAAAAAATAGATGTAAAAGGCACAGAAGAGGATGAGCCAAGCTGTAAAACCAGAAAACAGGGTTGAAATTATTTTGAGTCAGTTTTCAAGTACTGTTAATTAAATAATGTAATAAACAAATTTCATTTCAATAAATTACTGTCACATACACTGTGAGACAGAGTTCAGCGTGTGATTAAAAAATACACTGACTGTTAATCCTCTCAGAATAGGACCCTTTGCTTTGAACACACTTATCCCACAGTTCTTGCCACTTTCTGAAGTGGTTCCAAAGTCCTCCTTTGTGTCTCTCATGGCTGCCTTGATGACCTGAACTGATTCTGAATGTTTACGCAATTTTTGTCAAGTAAAAGCACAATGGTGCACCCCCATCCACCTCTTTCACCAAATGTAGCACTGGGCACTTCTGGCTCTTCCCCAAAGCCAAGATGGCCACAACAGGTAAAGGTTTTGTTTTGACTCCATTGAGAGCATCCAGGTAGTCCTGATAGTGCCACTAAACATACTCATAAAAGAAGACACCTAGAACTGCTTCAGAAAGTGACAAGGATAATGGGTAAGCGTGCCTGAAGTGAGGGAAGTACTTGAACTGATTATTGGCAATGTGAGCCTTATTGCAATATTTTCAATTTAATTGTGCACTGTATTTTGTGGTTACACCTTGTGAGTAAAGTTTTCTCTAATTTTTAAAAATAGACTAGTGAGAATTTGAAGAAATGATTTTTATTAGAAGATTATGATGAAGGTAAATAATTTTTCTATTGATGGATAATCAGCTTAAATAGTTAATTATTAAATATATCTTTGAATAGCAAAGCTGTTGTGTCCATGCTAGGAGCGGCTGAAGCTGGAAACTGATCACATGTGGCAGCGCAGGACAAAAGCCAGAGTGCCTAAAGCAGTCAGGCTACCTCAGTCTTGAGAAAAACAACCTGTCTGGACAATTCTGGCTATTAGTTGCTAGGCAACCTTGTGTCTCCTGATGCTAACTTTGCAAAGGGTTAAGTAGATGCCTCTACTGTTGCTCTTTGGGTCCTCTGCCGCTCAAGCAAACTGGCCACCACCTGACCTCAGCTATTAGTTCTTTATTTTCTAAATCCTCTTGCTGTTTTCTCCCAGGGACCATCAGAGATTAACAAATCCCTCCATGTCCATACTGTCATATAGGATTACATTCATCTATAATCATAATTTATGATTTTTACTTTACCTGTAACTATTCTAAATATCTCATTTGCTTTCTATAATATTTTCTTTATCCAAACAAAATAATGTCTAACCTTTTCACTTCTTTGAGTCAAAGACAATGAATCTCAGATCCTTTATAATTTATCCTCACACAAGGCCTAGCAAATGGGGAATACTAAAACATAATTTATTATTTTTCCTAAGTATTATTTTTTACTAGAACATGTTTGCAGTACATACTGACTAAATTCTTGGGGGAGTTTGCACATGTACATAGCACATCTTATTTCTCTTTTATTCCTTTCCTTTCTCTCTCTTTCTTGGTCCACTTCCCTTTTATAGAAGATCTACCTTCCTCTTTGCTACTACTTGTCTTTTACTTTGCTCTTTATATTTTGAGTTTGTCATAGAAAAGAAACCATGTGATATTTAAACTTCTGTGTCAGATTTATTTTATTAAACATATGGTCTCAAAGTTTACCCTTTTTTATGGCACAGTAGTATGCCATTACTTTTTTTTGTGTGTGTGTGTGGCTGACTCAGCCCGCCCTAGGGGCAAGGCTAGCCAGGTATGTGGTGCCAGGGATTGACCTGTGGTCCCTGCATGCTTGCCTAAGATTGCCTAAGCAGGCCCCTGCACTGTTTATAAATACCACATTTTAAAATTGTAGGGCCAGCCAGATAGCTCAGTGGACTAAAGTACCTACTTAGGCAGACGCAGGGACCAGGGTTCGATCCCCTGTGTGCCATGCTGGCCCTGCTCCCAAGATGCGTCCAGATGGGGACTGAGATTGGGCATGGTGACACATGCCTGTAATCACAGCGCTTGGGAGGCTGAAAACAGGAGGATGACTACGAGTTCAATCTGTATAGCAAGACCTGGTACGAAATTAAAAAAAAAAAAAAGTTTAAAATTATAATATACTTCTTTTAAACTTGTGTTCCTTAACACAGTTTATAACTCCTATTTCTTCTCCTCCCTTACTTTTTGACCTTTTTGCTAACAATTGCAATCTTGGGTTCATAAAGATTCTACTGCCTGCAGGACAGGAGTGTTTATGCACAATTACACACTCATTATTCCCAACCAGCAGGCAGTGCTCATCTTCCTATGAACTTTCTGAGCCTTTTCAACTCTCTTCGTGGCTTCCAGTCTTCTCTGGACAACTGGGGCTTCATCCATCCAGGTTTTCCTTTTCTTGAGTTCCTTCGGCAGCAAGGCTCTCCCAACACATCAGTAACGATCTCCCTGAAACTGACTTTTCAGCTTGCCTGTATGGATCAATCCTCAGTTTTCAGATTTACCCAGGCTTGCTTAAAGTTGGGAGTACTGTTGGCAAATAATTTTGTGAAAGGATACTGAAGCAGGGCTGACTGAGATACAAACTATCAAATCAAATATTTGGATAAATGAAGTCAGCATCTCAGGGTGAAATGACAAGGGATCAGTGTTTTCATTAATTTTTACATAAATCACAGAATCTTTTCTCTATCCTAGTTTTATAAAATTCCATCCTCATCTTTATACCAATCTCTATGCACTCAAAATGCCAAGAATATGTGTCTGCCCCTGTGTGGCCCTGCAGTCATTGCTACCAGTTTGCACACCAAGCCTGGCTGTCAACTTCATCCCCAAATTAAAGCCTTTGGCTCTTTTCCTCCACAGCTAATAAAGACGAAGAAATGAAAAAAGTCAAGCAGAAAAACCTAAACTGGTGAAGGACAGGACTCTTGAAATATCTATTGTTAAGTAGCTGTTAGGAGTTTGTTTTTTATGCAAAATAAGTTTTAAATCTAATAATTATACTCTGTTAGGCAGTATAAGTTGCTTAATACATATATTCTCTCCTTAAATAGTAACCCTTATAAGAAGTAAAGCCATGGTGTTATGTTGAGCTGTAGGGGACTCAGGTCAACAATTTCTGACATTGCCAGTGAAGTGAAAGACCCAATACTATTATGGACTACTGAACTCTTTTAGAATATTTGGCTGAGTTTACACTCCTATAATATTTATTTATTTATTTTAAATTTTTTTTCAACCTATAATATTTAAATGATGGAACTTAACAAAAAAAGGGGATACAGATGAATGTCCATCTTGTATCTGTGTATTCAAAGTGGTTAGGATAGATATACAGTTACATTCTCTTAATGAATAGAGGGATTTGTTCTAATGGTGTTTGTAAATAGGATATCAAGTCCGCATCTTGTACAGCAATTAACCACTAGGAAGAATGTATGCAATGTGTTAATTATTGAAACTGTCCTACCAATTTGGTTTGAAACTGTCTCATTGCTATTTGTTTCTCAATAAAATTATGGGGAAAAAAAATAGTAACCCTACATTTATTCTTGGGGCAAGGATTGAAACAAAGAAAAAAATAGATTTTATAGAAAAATCTGTTGGATGTATACAAATGTAAACCTTAAGGAATAAAGATTTCATGCTCAATGCTGGGTTCAGGAGGTTTACAATGCCTCAAGAGAGGCAGCAGGCAGTTACAGCCTTCATGTAAAAGGTGACAATTCTTTCCTGGAATCTCATGTGTCCCTAGATCCTCTGTCTACTTCAAATTTATTTATTTCTTTTTAATGAACAGCCATATGAAGCTATGTTCCATTATCAGCACACAGATAAAAGTACACATTTCAACTGTGTTTAAAAAATATGATGTATTTTAATCTCTTCCTCCATCATATCATATGCTACCGGCATGTCAAATGTCTGGAAACTTCACGTTCCTATAATACAATGGAACAAATCAGTGGGTTGAGAAGGAGCTTTTCCTGATCCCCAGAACCCCTTTATCACTTAGAATTGCCTGGGGCTTCTGATCAACTTGATTGGAAACACAGCTCCCAGCTGCCCTCCTGTAAAGTGCTGTCAGATCACAGGACCAGGCAAGCTGACCAGGGATGTAATTAATTGCACACCTAGAGCCAGAGGAGGGATGGCAGGGCTGCTGGGGAGGAAGACCCACAGGGCAGCTCCCTTAGATGTGGCTCTGAGAGGAAGGAAACCTTACTGCTAGAGTCTAATTTGGCCTAAGTCCTTTCTTTTGAATTGGCTACCAGACCTGTCACTGTGGTCAGAGTGAAGATGCAGGGGTACCCTTGGGAAGTCTCTGAAGCTATGAAGTGTGCTCTGGCATCCAGAAGAAAGAAGAGCAGGCAGCTGGCACAGGGCAGCACATGAGAACATAACTCACCAAGTACAAGATGCAGTCATTTAGTATGCAGGGTTGATCTTAACTAAAGCAGAAGGAAATATGCTGCCTGGGATATTTGGTTCTTCATATTTTAATGAGGAAACTGTTATCATTTCTATTGTGAAGACCAACGGGTTTAGAAGAAGCATCAATAATTTGTGGGTGAAATCTGCGGGTTCAAAGTCAGCTTGTATCAGGCAAGTGCCCTGGGGCTCACTGAAGTACCTGCACAGTTAGAGAGATATGTCTCGAACTGCCAAGCCATGCTTTAAGATGCAGCAGATTAAACAAGAAACCTAGTCATTGGTTAATTTATTACAGAAATATAGTCCTTAAAATGTAACACTCAAATGTAGGTTGGCTGGCTGGTTTTAATGTCTTATGCTGAGATCTGACTCTTGAAAATTCAGTATAAGGGTTTAGGACTTTTGTGTCCAACTGTTTCACTAGCTCTTTCAATGAGCCAGACAATGTTCCAGGCCCTGGGGATGGAACGGTGGACAAAACACACCCATCTGTCCCATGCACTGCCCTCTTGGGCATGTCATTTTCCCTACTTATGACTAAAAGTTCTAGTCCTTCTGCAAGACAACACAATTTAAGTAATACTTGCTTAGGTATGCTTTCCAAAATCTCCTTCC